ATATATATATATATATATATATATATATATATATATAATATACATGTCATATACATGTTATATATGTATATTTAAATAACATGTACAGCCGGCTTTCCTTTTCAAAAATCCTCCAAATCGTTTTAGACTTCCACGACGCCCATTTTTCCTTAGTCTGCCCGACCAAAATGCTTATTAGAATAGAATTCTATGATATCTGTTGCCTTATTTTAAATCAAGTTAAAACAAGGAAAGACTATGCATGAAATTTCAGCTTCGTTAAGCTCACTTCTTAATGTCTTAGAATTCTATGATATCTGTTGCCTTATTTTAAATCAAGTTAAAACAAGGAAAGACTATGCATGAAATTTCAGCTTCGTTTTGAAAAGCTCACTTGTAACGTCTGCCGTTCCAATAATAGGCTTTAGAATAGGCAGGAGCGAACGTTTACGGCATATTGGATTATCATTTGACGTCACTTATAACACCTACATACGATCCACATCATTTTCCTTAGACAGCCAACTCGGAATTAAATAATCGGCGCCCTTAAGCCGGATGAAAATTGGCAGATGCAAGTTTCATCCACTTCGATATTTCGTACGTCTGAAGCGATATCATGATTTGATACGGTATGCTCGTTCCGTTAGGGAGCGAACCATTCCACTTTTGTCTTGGAGCCCAATTTTAGGTCGAGCTTATCAATTACGAATCAGTCGCGTGCACGTTTCAGTCGGTTTCCTTTGAAAGCAGTCTAAGTAAGTGAAATTTAGTTATTTAGTTTACGATCGCCTAGTTTGGGAGCCACTTTTGTCACCTTAAATGCAGCAAGGACAATGCAGAATATAAATTGTGAGGATTCTATGTTAAAAAACCATAGGATTAAAGGTGGAGCCGGTAAAGTCCAGAACGCATCAAATCGGATCTGAAGCGCGAAAAGATTATGAAGGGAAGCTCGACAGACAGAATAGGAGTGGGATTCTTAGTGCTTGATTTCCATGAAGTTTCGTTTCTGACGGACAAAAAGCCAAGTTTCAGGATGCAATTCAATGGCTTCTTAGGGTAGAATGCTTTCCACGCAACTAGTTTTATTCAGGCTGTGAAACTCGGGCGAATTCGGATACTCACCTCAAAGTAATGACAAGAGGGAGTCCGAGATGGCTCAGTGGTTAGAGCGCGCATTTACTGACCGCAAGGTTTGTGCTTCAAACCCAACTTCCTCATTTCTACTGCTCCTGTTCATGCTTGGACAGTCAAGCCCTCATGCTTCCTTCGGGTAGCATGGCAGCTGGGCACCGAAAGGATGCTACAGCCGAACCATTATTATTCATTTACTATTAGTAATCGCAGGACAAACATGAGCTATCCCGCGAACGCTAGAGCTAGCAGAACTTATAAATTGTATTATTTACCCCACTTATTTGGTGCCATAGAAGGATGGACTTTTTTATAATCACACACAAGCCCAATATTTTAACTTCCAACGGACTGTATCCCAGTTAGGTTTATTGTACTTGTCCACACCATGAGCAGTGATGACTGACCAATCAACTCGAATCATAACGAAAGTGATGGAACAGATGCTTATGGATACGATGACTTTAGCCTTTATCAGAGTGAAAGACATCCGGCTCGCTGTCAGGTTTTACACAAAGGCATTACGTGCAAACGTCACAACAGCACTGCCCTCAAGTCGTGAAAAGGGTCACTCGAACCCTTATCAATGTAATTTTTCGGCTTTTACTCCCATATATTAGACTTCCAACATATTAGACCAGGTGAGATAAAGGTGCACTGTAATGCAGTTTGTAACCGACTCCTGATGCAGTTTTATATGTCAGCACCCCTGAGGTCGAGATAGGAATAAATCCCTCTTTGTCACGAAAGCGGTTTCTACCCTGAGCAGAGACGTCAGTAAACAGTTTCAAGAATTTGTGTGTGTGCAGTCGGTGTGCTCTAATGAAGTGAATTCCAAAAAGGAAAGTGTATGAAACGCAAAAATGTGCCTGAGTTAGTACTTTTACGATGAACGTCCCAATCGATGCGTCAGCAACCAACCGAATCCACGATACGGAGTGTTACAAACGCTACGTTGATAACATTCTTTCCAGATGCGGAGATACTGTCGATGCGGAACACAATCTAACCCCCAAACACGCTTCAACATAATAAAGTGGTCCAGCTAGGTGAGCCATAAGACATTTATTACAAAAACTCTTCACTTTCCAACGTACACACTCATTGAATCGTACCTAGGAATGGTCCCGAGGAACTTACGTACACTAGGTTATTTTAAATGAAAACTCGTGAACATCACACGCCAAAATGCTCAGTGCTATTCGTTCTGATCATCGTATATTGCCTTTTCACACCTCACATCTAACTTGATGTACCCTGAGCCTCATTGACTCTACTACATCTCCAATATTAATTCCTTACACCCTTTCTATAACCGGTTCAATGAAAACTAGCTGCTTTATAAGTGCCTTTCGTTTAGTCTGTGACCGTGAGGATATTCGACCGATGAATAAGGTACCGCAAAATTACAAGGAAACCAGCAAGCCGTAACACTCGTTTTCAGTTACTCCTGTCTAGGATTTAGCAACCTTTGCACAACAGCTATGTATCGACAGGGTGTCACATCTCAAACAAGCTGATTTCCGTGGCGGAATATTCTGATTTTTAACCTAAAGAAGACAGAGAGAATGCAAGTGGAATAGACTGGGATGGTTGAAACAGTAAGCGACTGTTGTGTAGTAAGCAGAGGAGCGGCCTGTCTTGAAAAAGACCAATCGTCGTCAACCTCGAGTATTCACATATAGGACTGATGAACAATAATTACCAACAGAGAACTTCAGATATTATCATTTCTCTTTAGGCTTTGCAGTTTGTTCCCAAATCTAACAAGCCGTCAGTTTATTTCACCAGAACTACTGCGCCTACTGATTAAGTATCCACCGAAAAAAAAATCAAACCTAGTATCAACACTCCACCATTAAGCTGCATGAAAAATTACAACCTTCACTCAAGTTTGCACAAAATGCAGTGCTATAAAAGTGGTCGTCTCATCAGGCTGATGGAAAGCAGCTCCATATTTCAGATCAAGTAATTGAAGTTCCGATGTGATTCCAGACGAATACATCATCATCATCATCAACGACAGCATGACATCAGTGCTCAACACCAATGCTTCACTGCCGTACAACCATGACTTATTTGAAAGCCTTATTGTAAAGAAAAGAATAAAGGTGGATGGGGGAGGGACTTAGTGCTAGCTTAACACAATCATTCCGAGGTGCCTACACCTCCAGACATTCACTCGGGCAATCTGGACAGAAACTGAGAACAAGAACACCACTGACATCGGTTGGCAGCCATATCTTGTAGTGTCTCCAACCAGGCACAGTGAGGATCACGCGGTCCCCATCCTAAAGGCGAGTAGCACCGACAGCACCCAGACGAATACCATCGCATCGTAACATTAACACAACTGATGTTGGGAAGTAATTTGGAAAATAGTTTGGAAAAAATAAACGGAGAACAGTCTGCTACATCTGTCAGTTTTTTTGTCCTCCTAGCGAGTGTTTTTACGATTGAAATTCACTGTGTACTCGATTCAAGCTGGAAAAACCTGTGATAAATGCAACTCAAGGTTGGGTGTTTGAAGCTGAATTATCAATGCTGTCAACTTCATTTGGTTGTCAGTGTAAAACAGATGGTACGGCTTCGCTGGTGTCGAAAATTCGGTCAGACATAGGTGCAACTTGGAAAAATCATGAAAGGTGGCTGGGTTTGGTGTAGTCAAACATCAGGACTGAACTAACAAACTTTGATGAAATCACCTATAGAAAAAATAATACTGCTGATTTGCAGACCTTTATGTGCTCAACGAAGGAAACCTAAGGACCCTTTTCGAGGACGACGAACTGCAGCTGGGAACATCCGGTCCAGATAAAAAGACCCCTGGTCCTTCAGACTGCTTCCCATAACGAAAGCTGCTTCATTGTGGTTGGGAATTTGGGCCATTCCTTGAGTGAACGTGCATATTTTGCTCTCGCCCAGCTTTAGGTACAATCGAAAAAGCATGAGTTGCACCGACAAAACTAAAACCCTAGCATTCAAGTAGAGTGTGACGAAAATCTTGCCGATCTGGAATATGCAGACGACATCGTTCTAGTCTTCGAAGAGGATGAGAAGGCACACGTGTTTTTGGATGAACTGACCGAGGTCATCCCGTCCTTTCGTATGCATTTTGCACCCACAAAGTGTAAGGTCATGCTCGTGGACGTGCAGCCACTGAACACGCCACTTACAATCCAGGGAGAGGCACCGGAAGTTGTGGAGCATTTTACGTATCTTGGAAGTTGTATTAGTTCTGGTTGAAGTGTGGCAGATGGGGTCAGTGCACGAATTTTCGAAGCCCGGTTGGCGTTCGCTAAATTGGGACACCTATGGCGTCAGAGTGGTGTATCGGTGAATCTCGACGGACGTGTATATCAAGCTACAGTGCGGGTGGCTTTGTTGTATGGCTGCAAGACTTGGCTTGTTCGAGCAGCGGAACTGAGACGTCTTCATGTGTTCGACAATCGTTGTCTCAGAATCATAGCTCGTGCGTGTTGATATCGGCGTATCCTTAGCGATGCAATTAGAAAGCGAGTTTTCGGTTGTGCAACGGGTACTTACATTGAAGAATGTGTCCAACAACAGAAGCTGCATTGGTCGGGGCATGTGTTGCGTATGCCGAACCATCTTTAGCCGAAGGGGGTGTTGTTATCCATGTCTAATTCAGAATGGTGGAAGCAGAGGGATGGTCAATCCCTGACATGGCAGAGGGGTATGGAACAGATTACGAAACGTCTGGGTGCCGTCCATGTACCTCGCCCTCCAGGATGGGGATAACGTGATCCCCAATGTGTCCGGTTGATGGTGTTGCAAGATATGACTGCTAACTGATGTCGATGGCGTTCTTGTTGTCAGTTTATATCCAGATTGCCTGACTGAGTGTTTGGAGGTGTATGTACCTCGGAATGCTTGTGGTAAGCTAGCACTAAGTCTATTCCCCGTCCACCTTTATTCTTTTTTTCGCAACAAGGCCTTCAAATAAATCATGGCTATACGGCAGTGAAGCATCGGTGTTGAACGCTGGTGTCATGCTGTCGATGATGATGACCGTGATTATTATTATTATTATTATTATTATTATTATTATTATTATTATTATTATTATTATTATTATTATTATTATTATTATTATTATTATTATTATTATTATTATTATTATTATTATTATTATTATTATTATTATTATTATTATTATTATTATTATTATTATTATTATTATTATTATTATTATTATTATTATTATTATTATTATTATTATTATTATTATTATTATTATTATTATTATTATTATTATTATTATTATTATTATTATTATTATTATTATTATTATTATTATTATTATTATTATTATTATTATTATTATTATTATTATTATTATTATTATTATTATTATTATTATTATTATTATTATTATTATTATTATTATTATTATTATTATTATTATTATTATTATTATTATTATTATTATTATTATTATTATTATTATTATTATTATTATTATTATTATTATTATTATTATTATTATTATTATTATTATTATTATTATTATTATTATTATTATTATTATTATTATTATTATTATTATTATTATTATTATTATTATTATTATTATTATTATTATTATTATTATTATTATTATTATTATTATTATTATTATTATTATTATTATTATTATTATTATTATTATTATTATTATTATTATTATGAATGTGGCAGTCATTGATTACAACTTTATCGCATCGACCTGAGCGCTTCACTCGTTGAACAAAACAGGATATTCAGTCCCAATCAATACATTCTGTATGAAAGTTGAGCACTGTTAACGACTGTTGGCATACTGGTGTCCAGAATGATTAGGAGCACGTGGGTGGCGCATCAGCACGCTTTATGTTTCCATGTGACTAAGAATGTATCACTGGCTTTCTTTTTCTGTAGACCCAATAGGTGGTAGTAAGCTGTCAAGTTATTCAAATCTTGCTTCATCTACCACCAACGCGAAGTATTTTTATTGAATAACATGCGCGACCCTCTCAATTACTTTGTGACTCTTCTAAAAAGGCTTTATGACCACCCGGATCATGGTAGGCTCGTAAGGATCACGGCATTTCGCTACAACAGGTTCAAAGATGCCACATATGGGTAACTTTTGAGTGGTTGTCGAGGCTCGTTTCGAAATATTGTACAGATGCTGTTTCATTACCAAAGATGTAAAATGTATCGCAGAACTGCGGTACCATCTGAGGTCGAAGCGCAGCCCGACCAACGCAGTTTAAAACAAAGTGCAACCACCTGCGCTATCAGATACAGGGGGGTTAATAATCGATCCTGCGTCCGATTGTTCGAGTCGCTGCTCGCTATATATGTCAGAGATGGGGAATCAATGGTCGCTCAAGTTTTAGGGAACAAGGAATCCTGAAAGACAACAAATAACCAAAGGGGTCTGTCCGTTTGCTTCTGCAGCGAAACTGGTCAAGGTAACTGCGTATCCATACTCAGTTCATACCCAGTGTATTCGAAGAGCCATTCAACGCAGTTTGGGTGTTCCGAAAAGCAGACAGATACATTTTCAATTAAGGCCGTACCTGGCTAAAAAATGACATCAAACGAAAAAGTGCACATTGGTGACAACACAAGCAATTGTGCGTAATCTATATTGGGATAACCAACTGACGCGCACGATGAACTCGTTTTGGCATGCTTCGGTGCGACTTAAGTGCAAGTTGCCTGGTGCGGCACCTCTACACAAGGCTTTCAGCAAAACAGTCAAATGCAACAACCTGTTGGACATATGTTGAGACCGCTTCAGATACACTCAACCAGCCGTCCTGTGCATCTCCAGTGTGAAATCTCATGTGAATTTTTGTTCGAGAAGAACGCTTGTACATTGGACACACTCTATGACCACAGATTGGCTAAGTTCGTTGCCACTCTTTATCAGTGTCGAAATTCAACAAGTTGTCTTTGAAATGCTCACACCGATGCGATAGCTGTGAAGATTGACTGTTATTCAGACTCTATCATCAAAGGATTTCAATGTTAGTTGGAAACCACTGGAATATAATAAATTGTCATTGGATGTGAGGGAAGCAAAATATCGATTTGCTGGTTTGCCAGTTTTCCACCGTATAGCGGTGAGAAAACATTAACACTATCTTGTAAGTGAAGCCAATGTACGCTGAAATCCCGAAAGCACTATACAGCTGTTCATCCTTATTGAGAATCACAGTACGCATTTTGTGAGATGCGCTGTGCAGTGCTTTTCCGCTATTGAGCATAGAATGGCTCCACTTACAGGACGAAATCTCCATGAAAAATCCTCAAATTTCCCCGTACTACCAACAATATGATCTCCGTTTCCCATAAAAGAAAGACGCTCCAACCAACTCATCGTCACCATTAAAATCATTGAGAGCAACACCAGAGGCCAAAACTGGTACTTCATTACCATACAACTATTTGAATAAAGCCTTTCAATTAGAAAAAAGAAAAAGGGACAGTGGACTAGAGAAAACCCACAACAAACATCCGACGTATTTACAGCCTCGACGCTCAGTCAGACAACCTTTGGATAGAAACTGACCATGTGAATCCCACTGACATCGTTAGCCGCCATTTTCCAGTGCCTCTAGCGACGCACAGGGAGGATCACGTGGGCCCCATCCTTGAAGGCAAACAGCACCCAGACCTCTCATAACACCCCTAATTCCCTTGTGATTATCTTTTTTTACGTCATATTCTGTCCACATCTATGCTTCTGCCGTTCAGCTGTAACATGCTTTCGGTGCCTAGCCGCCATGTCACCCGAAGGAAGCAAGAGGCTGGGATACTGCTAGGTTGCCCAAACCTAGACAGGAGAAGTTGAGATGCAAAGGGAAATTCGCGCTCTAACCATTGAGCAATCTCGTACCACACCGATATGGATACGAAAAACGGAATTTGTCACGGCAGGCGATAACTCGACATGCATACAACATGACACAACCATCATGGCTTGAAATACTGAGTGCATTCCTTGAGTGAAATACTATCCACTTCACTAAACACCTCTACTGATTATTTCATCGCGCATTCTCTTACTCCAGCTGATTCACGCTGGTTCTGAGACAGCAGTAGACAAAATCCTGGAGATACCTCAGAACCTCCACTCAAAATTACCAAGTCTCACAGCCGCACAACTTTTGGACTGTAGTCTTGGAAACCGACCGCTTACTCGGAACCCTTCTTTCGACCAAAAAACAACGGTTTACTAAATACAGGACGTTGAAACCAGTCTATATTGAAAATTGGATCTTTCATTCTTATCAGAAGTCATGTGCGATACGCAGCAAATAAACCTCGATAGGAATTAAATACGTCACCACGGGAATACCGGTGTAAGGGTGTGTACTGCTGATGAAACGTGCCAGTAGTATCCGGCCAAACTTTTCAAAGCACCATCCCCGTATCCAATGTAAGGCTGATATGGAAATTACTGAACCGTTTTCAGTGTTTACACTTTATTCTTTGGTATTCAAACAACGTCCAGGAAAGTTCAGGAGGATGCTTGAGGATGTTGACCTTTCAAAAACTGAAAACGAGGTCCTAACTTTCGTGCACGATGGCTTGTAATCACTTAGTTCGTGTTGGTCAATAAACAGCTCAGTACAAAAGGGCATTCTCCGTGAGTGTGGCAATTATAGCACGACACGGACAATGCGGCATTGAATAAATCGATACACTAACTTGATCGCAGGGCGCACGCAACAAACAATGGTTTCACGAGGTGATACGACACTAATTATAAGGTTGATGAAAACTACTTGACAGCACACATCATCAGCTCTATACATAAAATCGTATCAAGAAAGCCCGAAATGAAAACTGAGCCAGCCTTTGTACAACATGGTCGGTCGGGAAATATCGCAAACGAGAGAGCGGTTTACGCCGTTCCCTTCTCATGTTGACAGAGTCTAAGTTATATGTAAGTGTTTTCCTCCACCGACCGTTTGATAACTCTCCAGCTGTGTGAGTGAAGAGAAACATGAAACAGTAGGAAGGTATAGCACACCAAGACGTCCAGGTGTCTCAGATATGGATATTCACTTCAGCCAGGTTATCCCGGCAAAGGCAATTTTGTACCAGTATATTTTTCCTCTTTTGATTCAACTGTTCCGGATAACACTCTAGCAGCATCACAAGCCTTTTATCTATGCGTAAATCTTAAAACCAGCCGGAACTCAGAATACAGGAGAGCTTTTTGGGGTGCATGACTTTTTCTATTGGAATCCCTCTTTGCACAAAAAACAGGACAATAGGATCCTCTAGTAATTAGAATGGCTGTTCGGCCCGAAAAAGAGAATGTTACGATAGCAATGTCCTTTTGCTCTTGGTCTCAGTTTACCAGTCAGCTGTTTCTAGCACTGACATTGGGCTCTCCTTCAACATTTGTTGACCTAACTTCACATAAATTAGCCTATAATTGAGCCTAGATTACCTGGTGATATTCGGAACCCTCTACGTACATAGCACGGCTAGGAAGCTGGGGAACAGGAAGCAGCGATGCATCGAGTTCTCAAGACTACTGGTCACTATACCCCGACTTATAGCTTTTTTGCTTCTGGAATAAACCGCTCCCAAGTGGTGTTTGAGGTGAGTTTTAGTCGCACAATCTTCCCTCCCCGGGACGGACCATTTTTTGGCCAGTCCATTTAGAAGTTATCTCCAAGGAGAGACAATTCGGTCAGAACGGTCAGAATACTGGCAACTAACGATGAGCAATTCTCAGTTCAAGCTGCGTAATAGCACCGAATATCTGGGGGATTCGCACCGGTCGGAGTAGGAAATGTTGGAAGAACGCAGCAAAAGAAATGTAGAATGCCCCAGGGATGGCGCTCGTTACCTTTCTTAAGAATATCCCTACCGATTAGACATGATGGCGTCACAAAGTAGTTCCCTTCCTTGCAATAGCCACAGGTGTTTGTAAGTAAACTTACTGATCAGGATCAATAGGAACGCACCCAACACGAAATTGCAAACTGAAACATTAAAAAACTATGCAGCGCGAATTGCAAATCAGTCCCAAAGCCCATCTTACGATCACGCGGTGAAAACACCACGTGATGTTGCGCTACTGTATGGAATTGAGCTTAATGAACTTCATATAATGGTGCCATCCATTCGCCACTACTGTCAGTAGGACATTGATAGGAAACACTGGTGTACGCAACTATGGTACAATGCGGAAAACATCCCAAAAGGGAAAGATCAGACGCTTCAAGCAAGACAGACACATACCTTGCCTTGAATTTTGCCATGACCAGCGGCTTGACCTGTGGCTACCGTGATGCAGTCTGGATGCAGAGCAATGCTGCAGAACAATGGACGGGGAGCAAACAAATGACTAACCTTCATTCCAATACGATAAAAACATAACGATCATCAAAATGAATAAAACCAGGGGGAAGGTGGCGTACGTCCGTAGAATGGGAGAATGCACTGCGATATATGTGAAGGAGAGTGGATTGGTTATATAAATTTAGCTGGTTTTCGCGTCGTAAAACAACCAAATATGTCATGGAATAGTGGTCAAATTTGAGGCTATCCACCACGGGGTTCAAACTATTCACTAAGCACTGGCTAGACGTACTATTCACAACCCAGGATGGCCCCCAACGATGTCCACGGGGAGGTGCTCGATTGTGAAGGCGCTAACGACCAGGTTAGCCTCGACTAAGACGTATCATCTCAATCCCTTCTTACTACCAGGAGACAGCCCACGTAGCTTAAAGACCAGTAAGCGTCATCGCGAAGATGACCGCAAACTGAGTGATCCGGAGTGATTCCACAATGAACAAACAGAGCAGTCCTGATAGCTTTCCAGAGAGAGAGAATACAAATCCTCAATGATAACCCATGTGATGGAAGTCGGTGAAGTGTCAAAGTAACACATAAGTCTGGTATCCGTTTCTGGAATTTCCCATACCATGGAACCACACCACACGGGGGCGGCATAACCGCCGGGAGACCGATAAATTGGGCACAACTCTGAAGAAATAATGTTAGATGATAAGCAAACAAGTCCAGTTTGCAGACACCAAACTGACTGTCCACAATTGTCAAATCAGGTATAGGCAGGAAGACGGCTGAAACCTAAAATGTATGGGAGGGTGGCTTGGCGACCCGTATCACTCGTAAGACACCCAAAGAAAACTAACGTGTCTAGCTAGTATAAGCCAATATATTTGTCAAGATTCTGTACTAGGCGAGAACACAGGTTTGCTGGTTATTTCATGTACTTGTGTGACCATGAATAAACAAAAAGAAACTTATCCGATAACAAAAGACACGATCAATAGAACGACAACCGGGTTGGTCCATCTGGGACTGGAGGCGCATGTCAGCGCGCGGACGACTGTGCGTGCGTATGCATCCAAGCAATTACCTTTTGACCCACCTGATACCTAAAAATAATAATAATCGTTCAGCTGTAGCGCCCTTCCGGTGCCTAGCTGCTATGCCAACGGAAGGAGGCAGGAGGATTGGGATACTGCCAGGTTGCCCAAACCTAGGCAGGAGCAGTCGAGATGCTGATACATTTCCCTGTTAGAAGTCTGTTTTTGAACACGTAAAAACCACCTGCTCGCCTATCAGGCCCCACTGATTAACACCATTTCGGCAAGTTTGATAAAGCTGTCATGTCACCGGAGCGAGCCAGTAGATCTTCTGGTCATCTAAAAGCTAATTTACATAATTTTATTTCTTTAATATTTCTGCGGGTTTTGTGTCAATTTTTCTAAGCTAAGTTACACTATCATCCAATGTGAACTGGCCGACCAAGTTTGATGGCCACATCTGTGTCACATATAAAAAGATAGTTATGATACCCATCCAAGTAAGTAAGGGAATGACACTTAAACAGTATTTCAGTGGGATCGGACTTTGACTTCTCACTTGGACGTTACTGGTAACTGAAAAGCGATATCGACGCAAACCGCTCAGTGATAAGCCTGAACGAGAAGGGGTGGGTACCGTTCAGTAGAAGATCCTGGAAGCTGACCAAGCCATGTGCCCTGGCAAATGTGAACCGTTCTCATGACTATACTGAGGTGGTTGAGATGAAAAGGAACGAGACACTGACCAGCATTAGCCAAGTCAGGTTGCTACGAGCGGAAGCCTATACAAAGTTTCAAAGACAGACAGTGCGGTTTTTTTCAGAAAGCATCATAACTTATGACCATCGACAATTCCGCAAAATATTTGTATTTTGCCTGTCACTTATATACCACGCCTTGTTAAATGACAAATTGCCAAATAACATCTGCAAAACCCTACTCACTGAAGACGTGGCTTCAGTAAACATCCAGCAATCAACCAACTGAAAGAAAAATTTTTTATCATACTTGCGAGACCACCCTCGGAAAACACTTGGTGCTGCGTCAACTGCTTTGATTTCTTCTTATGGGCATTTCGAGACTGAAAGCCTACTTAATCCGCGTAGTTTACATGAAGTACTCCATTGATGCTCGTCACTTGTCACGTCAACAGATTATCTTTCCGTTCGAATTTTCGCAGAACCCTTATCCGACACATTGGGAATTCTTGGTGTTTTTTTTCTATGGTTGAAGTTGATTGACCACCGACGTTCGACAAATTTATCAGTTGAGTGGCTCTCAACTAAGTCATTCACATCGTTTTTCGGAGACTAAGTCAGAATGACAATCGCATTCCCTGGTGCAAAATTGGGTTTTCATCTTAAAGTGAACTAGTTCAGCAGTGTAGTTGGGAGATATTTTTGTGGTCACATTTCGTAGTAAAAGAAATTCAACTGCACAGCATTATGTCGCAGATCCTTGTAAGCTGTAGTTTTTGCCTGGCGATGCGATGCGACATATGACAGACTTGAGTGCATAGAAATTTTACAAATATTGGCCAATTCGGAGGGTTAGAACTGACAAGTCTTTGTCATGTCATGACAAGCGCACTCAGCATGTATCAGCAACAACATACACATGAGCCGATTGCGGACAGGCAACTGCGGATAAATATTTAGCGTGAGGTTATGACTGTGTTAGGCTGTGAAGCACTGCCACTTGTATAGTTATGGTACTGCTGAATACACAGTGGTCCGAACTTGGAGGTAAAAGGCGACCCACCGTGAACTCTCGTGAGACGTAGAAGGGAATAGCTTTTCAAATTATGGTAATTCCTAGGCAAACTACGGACAGTACCCCTAACAGGTGTTTACTCTTCATAGGTTTTGTTGGAATCAGTTTGGTAACAGAGAGTCATACAACTTTAGTAACGATGCAGGCCTAACACTCCGGAAATTCCAGTGCTAGGGCAAAAGAATACAATACACAAACCACATACACCGTTGCATAGGTAACAAGAATCGCACCTCCAGAGCTGTGGAACTCCATCCATTGAAACAGTGAAATATGTGAATCCAGAACTTCGTCTCTGGCGGGAAACTAGGACAGTTATCTAGACAGGGTCAGGGAGACGCAGAATCGGGCTTGCCTTCCTCTTGTATAATGCCATGAAACGGAGCAACGACTCCAACTGACAATCGGGAATGGCTATTAAGCTGCAAATAATGACACCTGAGACTAAAAAATGAACACCGATTCGCAAGGTAAGGCGTTTCCCCCAGGCGACCAGCATGTCCATATTTATGGAAGCAGCGATGCTACCTTCCCCCGAGGAAGGACAGGTTAGAAAAGGTCGGCCCCAAAAACTGCACACTCCGATCGCCCAACGGTTGACCGTGACCGCCGGCGCATTA